GTTGCATGCACATCCCCAGTACAGGAGGCAGCTTGATCGATGTTTCTCTCTCATCAATGTTTCTAGCTCTCTATCCCCTTTTCTTCCTCTCTGTAAAAAATCAATAAAATATATTTAAAAAAATAAGTTAGAAAGTATATACCTTAACTCATTTGACCCCATAATGACCCTGAAAACTAGGTATTCTCATCTCCACCGTAGAGGTGGAGGCTGGAAGCAGTGAGTGGAATAGCTGCTCAGACACTTGTCCCCATCCTCCACTTAGACTCAGAGGCTGTGAGAGCTGATGCACCAAAGAGATTTGCTATTTATTTCCCATCCCCTCTCCTTTTGTTATTTTTAATTTTTTGTTAATCCTCACCTGAGGATATTTTCCATTGATTTTTAGAGAGAGTGGAAAGGAGTGGGAGAGACACACAGAGAGAAACATCGATGTGAGAAAGAACATTGATTGGTTACCTATTGCATACACCCTAACCAGGGCCAGCATACAACTGAGGTACACGCCCTTGACCAGAACCAAACCCGGGACCCTTTAATCCACAGGCCGGCGTTCTATCCACTGAGCCAAACTGGCTAGGGTTTTCCTCTCCTTTTATAAAGGAGGAAATGTAGGCCTAGAAAAATGAAGTAAATTATCCAGGGGTGTATGAGTAGTTTATAACAGAAATGGGTTAGAAATGCAGTTTTTTGACTGTCAAAAGCCTTTACTAACCTATTGCTCCTACAAAGGCTGTGAGCACAGGTTTTACTGATTGTTAAATGGATTGGTAAGCAGCTCTCCTCCCACCTGTCCTCAGGTGGGTGCTGTCCCCTGCCCTGGGTTACGGTCCCCTGGAACTGCATGGCCCCAAACAAGTTCAACCTACTAGCCTTAGGAAAACACAAATGCTGCACAAAGTGATTCCACCTGCCAGGATCCTCAAATGAGCGAGAAGAAAGCCATTAGCGAAAGAGATCAACCTTTGCTTTGGGAAACATCTTTTCAGACCCTGGGAGACCAGAGGAAAAGACTCGGAGGACTTCAGCTGTGATGCACCTTCAGCGTGCTGAACCCGCCCTTCATCCGGGACACCTGCCAATCTCTCAGAGGCCACTTTGGACACGCCCCTTTGACTTCTAGGCTTGGGTGCCCTGGACCTCTGTGCAGTCCCTGGGCTGTGTATTTGCCACGCCGCAGCCCCTGGCCTCCTCCTCCAATCCCGCTCCTTCCCCACTGCCTCCCGGGCTTTGCATATGCCACTGACTCCCTCTCCTACCACAAAACTCCGATTCATCTTTCCTAGCTGTCTGCTTCCTGGAGGACTCACATGATCAATTCCTGGAGGGCAGGTGCCCCATACAGACTGGGCAAACAATCAATAAGAGTGGAATGAATGGCAAGTCTGTCTTGTCTCCCCATCCTGTGTTGCCCTGCTGTCTTCCCAGCTAGGCCAGGAAGCGTGTTCTGGGCAGCTCAGGGCCTGCCTGGCTCGGTGTGGATCTGTCCTGGTGACAGTCCCCGTGGAAGCACGTTCTTGGGTCTGGAGCCTCCCTGGCTTCTCTGTAATGGGGGTGGGGGAGGGAGGGGGAGAACACTGGCACTTTCTGGAGGCCCTTTCCTCTGCACGGAGTTCGGTTCTCACGATGGGACTGAGATCTCTGAGTTTGTGGAGGAAGGGCTCCCAGGTCTCTCCGTGGGCCTCTCAGGCTGAGCTGAGCTTTGCCAAGGTAGCATCTGTGGGCAGGGCCTGCCTCTGACTCCTTCCCAGCTCACCAAGCACCTTTCTCCAGACTCCCTTTGAGGACTCTTTCTCACTAAGGGGGTTCATGGTTAAGACTCTTAGAAAAACAGGAATTAGAGTGTTGTCCCAATACACCAAGGTTGCCGGTTCGATCCCTGGTCAGGCACCTGAAAGACTCAACCAATGAATGCATAAAGAAGTGGAACAACAAATCGATATTCCTCTCTTTCTCTTTCCCTTCTTCTATCTCTCCCTCCCTCTCTCCCTTCCTCTCTCTCTCTCAAATCAATCAATAAATTAAAGATATAGCTGCAGCTGGAAAGGGGGATGCAAATGACCTCTGGCCTTTCTTTGCCAAAACAACAAAGCAGGAGCGTGTAAGCAGCGGCCTATGCTCACAGAAGTGCTTTGTCCTCTCTCCCTAATGGCAGACTCCACTGCTTCTGTTTCTGGGGTCAGGTGCCACTATTTTATTGGTTGATTGATTGATTGATCTCACCCTTTAAGGTCACTGCTAATCCAACCTTGCGGTTCCGTCTTGTGATTGGTCCAGACTGCTGGCTGTTTGTTGTCCTTTGGGCCATGCTCAAAATGGGACACACCCCTGTGCCGCCTCTGTGCACCGACCTCCCAGGCCTCCCAAAGAAAATGATTGCAAAAATGGTTATTTGTTTGAAGTGAAGATAAAAAACACCCTGCCACTCCCAGGAGTGGAGGCAGACAACTAGGCCTTTGGTTAACAATCAATCAATAGTAAATCAGTCGTTGGCTATTGACTGGCTCTCTTGAATTTCCTGCCTTTCCCCCTTTCAGCAGGTTAAGCTCGTGGACCTGCTCCAAGGTGAGCAAAGCCAGAATCTCCCGATCGGAAGGAAAAAATGACGTGTGGGAGGCCGGAAGCAATGCAAACCCGCTCGAGTATTCTTTGCTCCGTCTCACATTGAAGTGAGGTGGTTGTGTGTGCATGTGCTTTTTAAAGGAAGCCAGAAATCCAATGGAGCGGGTGGAATTGCAACTTAATCTATAGATTTTTAAAAATGTATGAAACTGTTAAACTGGGACAAGGCAGAGCATCTGATAGTTTCCAAACTCACTGAATAGACATGTCCTTTGGCTCCTGGCCCTGATGGGAGCATCTGAGGATGCTCCCTGCTTTCCTGCCTCCAACCCTGGAGGCACCAGCAGGACATCTTCTGGCCTGAAGCAGTGAGGAATGTGTTTGTCTCAGGAGAGGGATGCCCTGGCAGATCAGTTCTTCTTGCTTTAAGTGGGTTTACAGATGGACTTGGGAGCTTGGGAATTTGGGGGTACACCTTTGGCACTGCCACTAACTTAACAGGTGACTCGGCAAGTGCCTTGCCTCCCCTTTTGGGGCTGCTCATTTGGAAAATGAGGACAGTCCTATAGGATCCTATAGTGGGACAATAATGCCCCCCAAAGATGTCCACGCTCTGACCCTGGAACCTGTGAATACGGTACGTCACCCGGTCCACTAGACTTTGGGGAGGTCATCCTGGATTATTCCTGGGCCCAATGTAATCCTAAGGGTCCTTGATGGATGAAAGGGAGAGGCAGGAACACTTCTGAGTCAGAGGAAGCTTTGACTACGGGATGCTGCTGTTAGGCGAGTGAGAAGGACTCCACCTGTCATTGTGGCTTTGAACAAAGAGGAAGAGGCTATGAGCCAAGGAATGTGGGCGGCCTCTGGCACCGGGAAAGGTGAGGAAGGGGTTTCTCCCTGGAGTTTCTAGAAGGAACCTAGCCCTTCTAAGACCAGAGTCAGATTTCTGACTTCTAGAAACTGTTAGATAATGTGTCCAGCTGGTGTGGCTCAGTGGTTGAGCATTGACCAGGAGGTCATGGTTTGATTCCTAGTCAGGGCACATGCTGAGTTGCAGGCTTGTTCCCCAGTGTGGGGCTTGCCAGAGGCAGCTGAACAATGAAGCTCTCTAATCACCGATGCTTCTATCTTTCTCTCCCTCTCCCTTCCTTTCTGAAATCAATAAGAATATATTTAAAAGAATACATATGTGTGTTGTTTTAAGCTGCTAGATTGCTCATAATTTGTTATGGAGGCAACAGGAAATGAAAACAGGGCTCCTTCCTGCAACTTGACACTGTTTTTAAGAATCCTAACCCAGTTTTGCCAGCAGCCCTGGGCAGCCTCAGCTGAGAGATATCCCAGGAACATTCGGTCCCTGGCTCTGGTATTGCCAGCTCCCAGTCCCGTCTGTGCTCAAGTGTGGCTCGCTTGACGTGGCCCCCTGGGCAGCAGAGGGGAACTGCTGTAGCACCTGGTGGGGCCTCTGGTGTCATCAGTGAAGACCCAGGTCAGGTATTATCTTCATCCTCAGACCGAAGGAACTGAGCCCAGAGAGGGGGAGGGTCTCATCCATGGTCAGGCAGCTCCTGAGGGAAGAAGACTGGCTCTGAAGTCCTGACGCAGGGGGTTTTCAATAGGTCACATTGGGGAATACATTTCCATTGCGTTAGTGGGTTGGGAAGGAGAGAAAAGAGAGAGAAAGAGAAAGAGAGAGAGAGAGATAGAGAGAGATAGAGAGAGTGAGAGAGAGAGAGAGTGCGAGCGAGCGCGCGCTTGGGTGGCAGAGCAGGGATCTGAGCCTGGTTCTTCCTGGGCATTGGGGGAGACTTGGACTTGGGAGTGGATGGGGGAAGGGACTGTCCCTATGGAATTAGCATGTGGCTTGAGCACAAGGATTCTGCCTGAACAGCAAGCTCTCGTTGCCACCCAGGGCTGGAAAGGGCAGCCCCCTGCAGCCTACAGGCCCTCCCTGCCTCCTTTCCCATCTGGACAGCCTCTGAGGATTTGGGAGGAGGGAGGCCGAATGCAAATGTGACCCCCACAGGGACAAGCAGGTCTTGTGGTGGGTGAAGAGCTGAGGTGCAGAGAGGGCCTGGTGTGTGGGAGGGAGGCCACACCGGGCCTGTGTGCAGCCCAAGTTCACTGATGGGTCAGGAGTCAGGACGGAAGGTGGAGAGCAGATGGTGTGAAGGCCTCCTCTGTGGTTTTTGTGTCTGGGCAGGTTCTCGTGGGTCAGGGCATGGCATTCAGACCCTGGGTCGTGAAGTCATGTATTGTACAAGGTCACCATCAGTAGTTGTTAAAGGTTAGAATAGAACAGGTTTTGTAAAGGTAAGTGTCGCTGCACAAAACTTGACAGAACCTGTGGTCTTTGGCCTGGGAGGTCTGGCCCTTTCCTGGGTGTTCGGGGAGAGAGACCGCAGGGTGGGAAGAGGCAGACACCGGGGAGCCACTTCCACAAGACCAGCTTTTAATATGACCGTGACCGGGAAGCACGAATAAATAAACGCCAGAGAAAATGGGAAAACCAAACCAAACTCCGAACAGCAAACCCAAAGGTCAGAAAACAAAACCAAACGGACCTCCGACAGACAGTAAACCCCCCAAAGACAGAACCGGACTGTACAAGCCATGTCACAGGGAGGGCAGAACGCGTGGGGGCCACGGACACGGGCTGGAGTCACCAGGCCACAGGCCTCCGTCACAGGCGCTGGGGTGGGAGGGGCTCGGCCCGGTTCCCCGGAGGTAAGGGGGTCGGATGGGGCGGGAAGGGGACTGTGGGCAAGTTAAGGACCTTTCACGAACCACACAAGGACCGGACGTAGCCGACAGTTCTGCGGTTTCCCTCGGTTGTGCAGCTGCGATTCCAGCTGTGGCCTCGTGATGGCCGGGGGCTGGAACCCGTTCCCACCGCGTGGGAACCGCACGGAGGAGTGTCTCGTACACACAGACAGACGTGGAGGCGGCGCCGTGAGAAGTCTGAGCATGCAGGTGCTTTCTACATCTGGCAGTGAGATGTGATGGCAGGTTGGTCCTTGGACTGTTCCAGAATGTGTCTCATGTCTCCTAAGAGGGACGCACGGCAGGGACCGAGGACGGGTCGAGTCCCACGTGGCCGCGGCGAGGTTTTGGCAGAGAGTTTGCTATGTGTGCATAGGGGCTCTTGCTGCTTCCGTCATCAGGGGCCGTCCCGCCTGAGCCTGCTGTCCCCTGTCCCGGATCTTGGGCCTCGGGGTCTGCTTGGGGCTGCCGGGCGCTCCGGGGGCTGTCAGCAGGCGATCTCCTCCAAGGTCCCCAGGGCTGTCTGCAGGGGCACAGTCACAGTGTGGCTGATGGTTTCGGAGTGGTTTGGCATCGTCTCACAGGTGCTCTGGAGGGAGGGGAAGGTGGTGCTTATTTATTAATTATTTATTTAAAAATTTATTTTATTTTATTTTATTGATTTCAGAGAGGGAGGGAGAAGGAGAGAGAGAAACATCAATAGTGAGAGAGAATCGTTGATTGGCTGCCCCCTGCACAACTCACACTGGGATCAAGCCCACACCTGGGGCATGTGTCCTGACCGGGAATCGAACCATGCCCTCCTGAGCCATGCCAGCCGGGAAAGGTGGTGTTTATATTTAAAAATTCATCAGGTGCCACTGGCAGCCTTGGGGACCATGCTCCTCACTTGTGGGCTCCCTGGGGCACTGCTGCTCCTGCCCCAGGCACCCCATGCACCGTTGGCATCTCGGGCATGAGGCTGAAGGGGCTTCCCTGCCTTTGGAATCCTCGCCACTGCCCACCTGGTGCCCCCGGCGCAGGGAGAGGGCTCCCTGGTGATGGGGTATGGCTGCTCCTCCTGGAGGTCCCCTGATGTGCCACCTGAAGCTACATCTGAGTGACGTATGGCTTTGGGCTGGAGAGCCCATCCTACCCTGGGCCTCAGGGGCCTCCTCTGGGGCCTCGCTGGGGTGAGGAGGTACAGCCTGGGGCTAGGCCCGGGGCAGGGGGTGATGGATCCCTGAAGCCGAGCTCTGAGGGCGGAGGCTCGAAGGCCAGAACCAGAGCTGGTCACAGCACCCAAAGGACATTCAGGGTTAGACAGCACACAGGGAACAGTCATCCTGGGTCCTTGAGCAGGGTGTGGCCGAGAGGCCCCGGATCTCCCAGGAAACCCTGTGCTGCTTCGGGTGGGAGGCCAGGAGGGCTGGGAGCAGAGATCGGCCAGGAGGCCATCTAAGAATTTGGAGAGACTCGATGAGGACCGCACTGCAGGAGGGGGAAGGATAGAGGGGGAACCTATGACTGAGACATTTCGAAGGCAGGAAGGAAGTGAGGGACCTGAACTTGCTGAGCTCTTACTATAAGCGAGGCATGCTGCCCGGCCAGTGTGACTCAGTGGTTGAGCATTGACCTATAAACCAGGAGGTCAAGGTTCGATTTCCCAGCCAAGGCACATGGTTGGGTTGTGGTAGTTGGATCCCCAGTAGGGGGTGTGCAGGAGGCAGCAGATCAATGGTCCTCTCTCATCATTGATGTTTTTTTCCCCTCTCTCTCCTTCTCCCTTTCCTCACTGAAATAAATAAAAGTATATTTAAAAAAACCCCACTAGGCATGCTGATTGTTTCATAGGCTGGTCTCCCTCCTCTGAACGACACCCCTTCACACCTGCCTAACCCGCTACCATCCCTGGTCCCTGGGAAGAGGCAGATGCTCAGGGAGACAGATACTTGTCCCCAGGCACCCAGCTCAGAAGCAGGACCTGGGACCCAGCCAGGCTGGCTCCATCCAGAGCCTGGGTCCCTTCCGCTCTGCCCCTCCTGCTCTGGCCCCATAGCTGGCTTCGCGTCGCCTGTACAGACCAGAGGAGCACATCGACCTCCGACCCACACTGCTCTCACCACGTTCTCGTCATGGCTCCCTTCGTCCTCTTCTTTGCCCAGCAGGTCTAATAGCTTCTCTTTGATCAGCTGTAAGAGAGGCCGGAAGCGAGTGGTCAGGCTGCGGGGAGGGGCAAAGGCAAAGAGGCCTCCCTGTCTTGGGTTCCTCAGGGGGATCACAGCGGCAGCAGCTGCCTGGGCTGTGGCCAGACAAACGTGGCAGGACCCGCCGGGCGTGCCTCTGCCCCATCTCTGGGCTGCCAAGTGATTCTGGCGCAGGGGCTAGCGCCTGGCAGAGGTCACAGGAGGGCCCTGTCGCAGTGTGGACCGCCTTCTCCTGTGGACGGACAGTGTGGGGCAGCAGCACGTGCTGACGTGGCTGGCTCCCCCTCTGCCCTCAGGAGCATCCTGGGCCTCTTTCCGAGCCTGGGTCTGGGGATAAGATTGCTAATTACTTTCTAGGCCCCTCAGCCCCACAGTTCATAAGATCAGGGCACACTCGAGTCCATGACATTTTATTCTTAGCAGCGGAGGGTAGTTATCAAATGTTATCCAGTGTGATTCAATTTCCCTAACTTTGTACAGCTTCTCATAAAATTAAGAACAAACAGGAATAAAATCTGGCCATGGGGTGTGGGTTTGGCATGTGGAACAAGGTTTCCCGGCTGAAAGGCAGGGCAGGACGCTGGGAACCCTGGCCACAGGGCCCTCCCGCCCACACAGTGAGAACCTTTGGCCACGGCCAGCCCTCTCTGGGGGCAGACCCTGCTCACCCACACTGTGTGCTGGGCCCAGACCCGGTGCCCCTGGGGCCTGAGGACCTGGGCGTGCCCACGGGGATCTGGAGCCCTGCAGCCAGCTGGGTCTGGGGAAATGGGTGGGAAGGCTGACGAGCACCAGGAGCTCCCAATCCTGAAGCCGCTGTCCGCTGTTTGGGAAGCTCTCAGACGCCCTGTCCCTGCTGCCCCTGAGAGAGACATCTCCACGGACCATTAGCAGCCAGAGGCATTGGGTGTGGCCTTGCTCGTCTCAGGACCAAGGAGGGAAATGCTCCTTACCGCAGTCTCCCTGAACCATGAAGGTACCACTCAGGTCACCAGCCACCCAGAGGGCAGGTGTGTGTGTGAGTAGTATGTGTATGAGTGTGGTGATATAAGGGTGTGTGTCTGAGTGTGGTGTATGGTGTGTGTGTGCATTTGTGAGTAATGTGTGTGGTATAAGTGTGTGTGAGTGTATGATATGTGTGTGTATTTGTGAGTAATGTGTAAGTGTGGTATAAGTGTGTTTGTGGTGCGTGGTGTGTATGTATGCATCTTCAGGCTAGCTGCGAGAGGGGCTCAGAGCTGGCCTCAGCCTGGTCTCATCTCCCTTCTCTCCCTCCCTGCTTGTGTAGACAGCCCATTGCTTTTTCTCTACCGGACTGTGGCTTCCCCTCCCTCACTTTCATCCTCCCTGATACCTAGGGCTTGGTGACAGACAATAGCCATGGACAGGAGGAGGGTGCAGGCTCTGATGGAGATGTAGTGCTTTGGCTCTGGGCACTGGGGCAGAATGAGGGCACTCGCATGTGGTCATTTCCCCAGGAGGGATCCCAAATCTTACCTCATAAATGTAATCAAAGAGCTCTAGTATTGTGAGGATACTAGCACCAATGAACAACCCCATCTGGCCACCAATGTCACCTGGAGAGAGACAGAAAAACACCAGAGGTTTGGTTTCATTCACAGTGCTTCCAGGAAGGGTGAACAGACTCGGAACTCGGAACCCAGACCTTCTGAGGGAAGTGGGGGCTTGTCACCGGAAGGCAGGCCTTTGACAAGTCCCGCCCTCGATGCAGAGCTCTGAGAGCTGATGCGTGCAGCACCTACCCTGTTTCCCCGAAAATAAGACAGTGTCTTATGTTAATTTTTGCTCCCAAAGATGCGCTAGGTCTTATTTTCAGGGGATGTCTTATTTTTCCATGAAGAAGAATACGGCACACATTGTTAAAGGAAATTTATTACCTGTATACCGTACGGTAGTACAGTAGTTGTCAACACAAACCAGACAAACTGTGAATCCTACAGTATCAAGAATTTACTCATTTATTCAATGACAATCATGTCATCATCTTCTGGAACATCATCATAACAATCCAATTGCTGAATTTCCTGGTGAATTTCTTGTGACTCCATTTCTTTCAGAATCAATGGACCAAATCTCTCATGTTTAGCAATAGCATTCTGAGACAGAGCCTAGGGGGGGGGGGCTTATTTTTGGGGGGATGCCTTATATTTCACTCAGAAGGAAACCTGTAAGTAGGTCTTAGTTTTGGAGGATGTTTTATTTTCGGGGAAATGAGGTAGTGAGGATGCGAACTAACCCGAATGCTTTTTGGAGGTTCCAGAATAGATCTCATAGGCTGACAGGCTTGCCAATTACATTAGAACCGCACTGACTGGGCCTTGCTTTGGCTCTGGTCTGAGAACAGAGATAAAACACGTGTGGTCCTTGACCTGGGCAAGGGCACAGTCTAGCCTGAGACACAAGTGTCAGGTGCCCTGAGTGGGGGTCTTGGTAGCGGTGTCACAAGCGGCCTCCTCGCCCATGCCTTTAATCATGACATGACCGTTAGGGTCACCTTGGGGCTCCTCTCACTCTTGGGATGAGGCCCTTGGAGGCATCTTGCATCTCCCTTACCCAAAGGTAAATGTTCAATTTTGTCTCTTCCTAGAGCAGAGGTTCCTACCCTGGGGTGGAGGGGCCCCTTGACCAAAGTTATTCTGGACTGGTCTTCAGACCCCTCCACCCCCAACCCCCCTCCTCCCCGACCCGGCATCAAACTCCTGGGAGTCTTGTAGTCAGTGTAGATGCCTGGACCTACCCCAGGCTACATATCAGATCTGGGGCCGGGGTCTGGAGGTCAGGATTTGTACGTTTCCCAGGGGGTCCTCTGGCCCACCAGAGTTTGATAACCCCTCTCCCGTGGGCGCTTCAGATGGTAGGAGATCCTCCGAAATGGAATGAACACACTAAGTGTGGACACCTGGCTTTTGTAGTGAGAAAGCTTATATTTGAGAGGCTATCAGCCCATTCTCTAAGGTTGTGATCCCCCAGAAGCCCGCGGGGCTTTGCCCCATTGCTCTCTGGGGCTCTGAGCTTGGAGTGGCCACCAGCTTGCTGTGAGGCTTTGATAAGCCCTGACCCTCTCAGGAGCTTTGCCTTCAAAGCACCCTTTGTGGTGGAGGCCATTGGGAGGGGGCTTGGAGGAGATGAGCTGGGAAGTCCTTCCCAGCTGGAATCTCTAAGACTGGGCTGGGGAGATGCTGGGAATGGGGGTGCTGTTGGGGTGGGCACACAGTCCTGGACACTCCAGGATGACCTCTTGGTCTGAGAACTTCCTAATGGGTGTATCTGCCCACTTCTACCCTGGTCAGAGCTGGGAGGAGCCCGACAGCCACATCCTGAACCAGTTGAGATTGTGGGGAGGGAGGTCTTCCTGGTGCTAAGGAAGGTGCTAAGCTCAGAAGGCTCCCTGCATGCCTCTCCTCCCTCATGCTCACTCTCATGCCCTCAGTGGAGGTGTATGGGCCAGTGTCCACTTATGTGTGTGCACATCAGGTGTGAGTGTGTGTTTATATGTGCGTGAAGTGTGACTGAGTGGGGGGGTATGTGCCAGGGTCCGGTGAGTGTGCAGTGTCTGGATAGAAATAGGCAGTACATCTGGCTGTTGGTGGCTTTATGTAGGTGGTGATCTAGGTCTAAGGTAGGTACACAGAAAGTGTCTAAGCGTGTGAGTGGCCCTGTGTTTGAGTGTGAGCACAAGTGAGCATGTGCAGGTGTGGGTGTGTTTGTGAGCATGGGCAGTTGTAGGCAAGAATGTGAGTGCAGGCATGCAGTGCGTGTGCACGTGGATCTGTGCAGGCGCACGCCTGTTTGTGTGGCTCTCCATGGAGTATGTGTGGCCACGGGGTGCAGTGGGCACTGAGGTGAGGGTGGGACCATGTGGCAGTGAGAGGGGGGCCTGACAGCCTGTGGCTGACGGTTCCCAGCGGCACACGCTCTCTTCACGAGGCTGCAGATGGCCCCATGCTTTTCTCAGCGGCGAGAGAGACTGTGAGCTTATGTGGGGATGGGGAGGAGTCATGTTCTGAGTCCATTTAGAAAATGAAGGTGGCAAGAGCAGGGGAGGAGCCTACATCTCCGGCCCAGGCTACAATTCTCTAGGCTCAGCCCCTTTGGCCACAGGGGCCTGAGAGGCCCGAGCGACAGCCACCTTAACGCAGCTGGGACCCAGCCTCCAGGGAGAGGTGCAGAAAGGCCTGATGGCGCCTGGCAACACCAACTGGGTCCTGGTCCCTGGCATGGAGACTGTCCAGGGATCAAAATGCTATTAATGGACCTTCTGTGGGCTGGGGCTTTCCAACATTTAACCATCACAGCCAACACATAGAGTGGGATTCATTAGACCCATTTTACAGATGGGGCACCTGAGGCCAGTGAGGAGAGGCCACTGGCCCACATCCTCAAGCTGGTCTTTGCTTTATACCCTCAGGTGGAAGGTGTCTCTCCCTCTCCTTGTTCCCCTCACCTGGCTCAGCTCCCAGAGGCAACAACGGCTACTTTCCCCCGCAGATCCCTTCCTGAGAGAGAGGGGGAGCTGGCAGGAGGCCCTCAGGGGCAGGTCTTCTGTCTGCCTAGGGGTCTTGTGCATGTTGTGCTGGGCGGGGGCAGGTTGAAACGAACTCCCTGCATCCATTATGAGCCTGCGGGGCCAGGCCACCTTGTGTGGGTGGCAGTCAGGTCTGTAGATACCTGGGGACAACTGGCCCTTCTGTGTTTGACAAAGGACCCAGCGCAGGGGGAGCCACCCTCCCTTCCCAATGCAGCAGCACTGCTTTCCAGGGGGGCTCCACTGGGGACCCTCACTGTGTCCATCACCTGGGGACCCTCCACGCTGAGTCTTCCCAGCATCTGACAGCTCTTTCTTCCTGCCCCACCCCGAGACTCTGACAGCAACCTGGGGGCGGAGAGCCATGCAATCCAAGAGGGCAGCTCTCGAAAGGCCCTGAGAGATTCTCAGCCCACCCCCTCCCTGTGTTGATGGGGAAACTGAGGCAGAGACTGCAGCATGAACTGGCCTAGAACCTCCACCACTCTGGAGGTCTTGGTGTTCTGGGACAGGAGCCGTACAAGGATGGAGGGAACAATGAGCGGGCACAGAGCTAGACTTGTCAGGAGGCACACAGATCGACCTGCCCGCCTGCTGCCCACCTGCCACCCCCTCCCTCCCTCTCACCTTCTATATGATGTGGAAATGTGTGCAACAGACGCTTCGACTTACCAAGTAAGGCAGCAACTTCATACGCCTTCTTTTGTTCAATTGTCTCGTAATTGAGAGCTTCAAAAAATATATCCAGAACGAGGATGTTCTCTCTGCAGAGGGAACGTTCAGTACATACATGGTGGATCTGTCAGGATCCACAGTGATCACCTAACAGCTTTCCCCTGGACAGATGGAGAAACTGAGGCCCGGGAAGTGCCACAACCGGCACAACGCTCGAGCTGGTTAGCGGCAGAGCTGGGCCTTGAAACCAAGAGCCGTGATTCCACCCCGTGCTCGTCACAGGCCTGGGAGCTGAAGCTGGAGGCTCCTGTCAGCGGTCCCCCTCTGCCCCGAGTTCTCCTCCCCCCTCCCCCCACTCTGCATGCTGCCTTGCCTCCCGGTTATCCAGCCCCCAAGGGGTCTGCCCGGGGCCTTCCCTGCAGGTGAGCTCAGGACTCTTTTGACAAGGCTTGCCTGCCCAGCTGACCTCCCCTCCCACTCCTGAAAGTCCCTGAGCTCCTACTGGGATTTACAACAAGCTTTTAGTCCGAGGTCCCACCCTGGCATTATCAAGTCAGGTGCCAGAACCGGAGAGGCTTTTTAGGGCACAAACCTACATGTGTGGGCGGGGCAGCTCTGGCAGGAGCACCTCCGCTCCCTCTGCTCCCTCAGGCAGATGTGTTAATGAGACACATCTTGGCAGGAGGCCCCGCTGCTGCCTGCAGAATGTCTGCTCAGCAGCGGGGCCTGGCACCTCCTACGACTCCCCATCTCCTTCAGTGCCTCAATGCCCGTCCCCAACCCACTGAACAGAAGCAGCCGCTCTGTAGACATCACCCAGGAGGGGCTCTGGCGATGGTGTTGGCAGGAGGCAGTGCTGGGGAGAGGAACAAGCCCCCTCTCTCCATGCAGGGCTCTCCGAGGTTCCAAAGCAGCACCAACTCTTGCCTGGTTTATGGTGATGACCTCCTAACTGGCTCCCTTTTGCCCACCTGGCTTCCCACTCATCCTCTAAGCGGCTTGCCGAAGGGTCTCTCTAAAACTGCTAAACAAGTTCAAATTAAATAAAATTACAGTTCCGTTTCCGAGTCACTCAAGCTATGTTTATATATATATATTTAAAAAAAAATTTTTTTTTCTATTGATTTCAGAGAGGAAGGGAGTGTGAGAGAGAAACATCAATGATGACAGAGAATCATTGATTGGCTGCCTCCTGCACGCCCCCTACTGGGGATGTGCCCGCAACCAGGTTACATGCCCTTCACCGGAATCAAACTCGGGACCCTTCAGTCCCCAGGCTGACACTCTATCCACTGAGCCAAAGTGGCTAGGGCTCAAGCTATGTTTAAAATGCTCAACGCCAGCGGACTGAGGCGATGACATTGAAATGAACACCTGCACCATGAGGGACCAGTCAGGTGAAGAGTGAGAGGAAAAGCATTCTGGGAAGAGGGAACAGGATGTGCAAAGCCTGCCTGGAATACTCCTATGCATCATTTAAAAAATCTCTTGACGTGTTCCTTGGCAGCATCCCCATGCGAGGTGCAGGCAGCCACCTCCTGGATCCCGGGGGCTGGGATCAGCCTTTGTCGCATTCAGTTGCCTGCTTGTCGCCCTGCAGGACTCTAAGCACCTTAAGGGCAGGGACTGCGTTTTGATTATCTTTGTCTTCCTAGTCTGAGTGCTGAGCACAGAGCTTGCCACACAGCAGGTGCTCAATTCGTGTCTGCCTAATGAAACGAACTGCTCCCCTTTGCCCTCTTCCTTGATGGCCCCGAATTTCCTCCTGACCCATACCACCCGCCTCCTCCCCAGTGCACATGCCCCCGCGCTTACGAGATATATTTTTCTGATTTGTTAAACTTCTTCTCGAGGTACTTGGCGGACGTCTTGCTGGGGATCTTCACCATGGAGAGCTCCTTGTTGTAGCGGGTCAGGTTGCAGGGTGTCCTGCAGAGACAGTAACTGCTGTCCTTTTCCGCCAGCAGACCTGCAGGGGAGAGGGGGGAGGAGCTTAGTCCGCTGTGGGGTCTGCGGCCTCTGGGCCAGGGCAGCAGGTCCAGCAGGAGAGAAATGAGCTGGGAAGAGGTGACCTCCCTGGTGAGGGAGGGGTGGGGGGCTGCAGAGAGAAGGGGAGCTGGGATGCTGGTCTAGGTTGAGGGTGCGGACGCTTATGAAAAAGTGCCCCCTCTTTCTGGGCTGCTCTTGGCCCTGTGTTTCTTCTGTTTCTCTCACTGTCATGTGGCCTTTTACAGACTGTTGAAAGGGCACCACTTTGGGAGAAAAGGCTCTGAGGGAGTCCTGGCCCCTTCACCTTCCCGGGCCTTCGTCTCTGCTCCTAGCCTCAGTGTTCTCATCCACAAAGTGGGCTGCCTGGCAAAGGCACATGTGGGAGACCATTGCATCTGAAGCTCGGGCTCTGCGGATTCCCTCTGGGCTGGCTCCCCATAGCCACCCCCGCCTCCTGTGCCCCCTGGGTTAGGGCACAGGCCAAGATTTGCACTCCTTTCTCTAGAGGCAAAGTCCCCACATCCAGGTTCATCTAGTCTCCCCTCCCCTCCCCTCCCCTCCCCTCCTCTCCTCTCTGTTTAAGACCCGGTGGTTAAAGACAATATTTCCCTCCCTCTTTCCTTTAACCATCTCAGTGTTTCTGGGTTTTGTTGATTCCTCATTCCAAGGAGAGACGGAGTCTGTGCACACATCGGAAGCCACTGTCTGTCCTCTCCCCAGCCCCCCTCTCGCCCCTCCAAACATGGAAGCTGTGGCAGTGTGAGTCAAGAGCTGCCCCCACTTAACTTCAGTGAGTGCAGCTGCCAAGGAACTCAAGTCCATGCACATGTAAGGTAAGTCCATGCCTTATCTCTTTTTTCTGCTTCACGTACTTGGGTTCAACTGCTTTGAAATAACCTTGGTGGCCTAGCTGTGTGAGCTACCATCGTGTGTGTGTGTGTGTGTGTGTGTGTGTGTGTGTGTGTGTACTATCACACTCCTCTGTGTCCCCCACACCTGTCATGCATCCTCTCTCATCTCTGCCCCTCTCTGCATTCCTCAGTACCCCCACCCTCTGACATTCACTGTTCTCTGTCCACCCCTCTGCCTCCTTTCTCTCCCCTGTGCCCTTCCCAGCCCTAATCCACTTGCATCAATTCCCTCGCACCCTGCTCTCCACCTCTCTCTCCTGCAGTCCTTCCACTCTGTCCAGCCTCTCTCCTCACCCTTACCCATGCCCCCTCCCACCCAATCTCTCTCCTACACCCAGGAGATCCCCATCTCAGCCCTCCCCAGCATTCCACGTGCCCCCAGTACTGACCCAGCGCAGGCTCTGCACACTCCTTGTGCTGCTCGGGGGTACAGAAAGGCGCGTCCCCTGCGAAGAAGAAACACCGGGAGGTACAAAGGCCGCAACACCTCCCCTCCCGGGGCTGGGCAGGCAGCGCCCCCCTTACAGGCAGGGGCAGCCCCTGGGCAGTGCAAAGGAGCCCTGGACCAGGGCAGCCTGGGAGCATTGGGGGCAGTGCACCCAGAGCCAGAAGACGGGGTTCCCATCTGCCCTGTGACCGTGGATAGAGGGTAGGGGGACCCTCCCAGATGGCTGCACGGGTGATGGGTGATGGGTGAGGAAACCTTGCTGGCTGATCTGCTAGTTGGGGGAGGCACCTCCTAAGTCCTGGGCATGGGCCATTTCCTCCTGAAGGGGAAGTACTGCATCCTGCCTTCCCAGGGCACCGGAGCGGCAGTGATGGAGGAGGGCTCTTCCCACCACACACCGCGCTGGGAGAAGGGCTGCTTTGTAAGCGCCTCTTTGCTGGGCTCTGCATTCCCACCAGCAATTGAGAGGCTAGTACCCGGGTCCTGGGTGGAATGATTGAACTTCCACTGCTTGCTTTCAGCTCAGGTTCCATGAGGCAGCCTCACAGTCTGAGCAGCAGGCAGGTAACACCAACTACGGCTCAGCTGTCCTTCCTGGCAAATCTCTGTAGAAGTCCAAGCTCCACTGTTTCCTCTTTTACCAAGTGCTACAGTGAATGTCCACCTCGAAGTCTTTCCTCACTATTTCCCAAGACACCCTTTTCTTGAGCTGAGGGGCTATTATGCTCCCTCCTTTCTAATAATCATATCACCTGAGGATATTTTCCCACTGTTTTTTAGAGAGAGTAGAAGAGAGAGGGAAGGATAGAGAGAAATAGTGATGTGAGAGAAACACATTGATTGGTTGCTTCCTGCAAGCGTCTCAACCAGGGAGGAGCCTGCAACCAAGGTACATGCCCTTGACTGGAATCTATCCACAGAGCCAAACCAGCTAAAACTCTGATAATAATAATTTAATGGGTAGTTTTCCTTTTTGCTTTGTCTTCTAGGCAGAGGAAATTTTATTTTTTTAATTTATCTCTAAAATTTTTTTATTTATTGATTTTTAGAGAGAGTTCTACTTACTGATACAGTCATTGGTTGATTCCTATATGTGCCCTGACCAGGGATCAAACCCACAACCTTGGCATATTGGGACGGTGCTCTAACCAACTGAGGTGCTCTAACCAAATAACACCCCTCTGGCCAGGGCCTTAGAGACAATTTTAAAGATCAATAATTCTAACCTTAGATTATAAATAAATTACTGATTATTAATAAAAATATTTCAGAAGTTAGCTGTGAGGATGTTCATTTCAGCATTGGTTATATTAGAAAACAATTGGTAATGAACTAAATGCCCAATATAAGGATTTCGTTAAATATACTTAAGTAAAGCATGCTATAAACATGAAATAGCAGCTGATAAATATTTGAGCAAAATTCCTGGCACATAGTAGGTCTTTAGTCCACAAGACTTTTGTTTTTATTTTTAATATATTTTATTAATTTTTCACAGAGAGGAAGGGAGAGAGATAGAGAGCTAGAAACGTCGATGAGAGCCGGGACCGGTTTGGCTCAATGGATAGAGCGTCGGCTTGGGGACTGAAGGGTCCCAGGTTCGATTCCAGTCAAGGGCATGTACCTTGGTTGCGGGCATATCCCCAGTAGGAGGTGTGCAAGAGGCAGCTGATCGATGACTCTCTCTCATCGATGTTTCTAACTCTGTATCTCTCTCCCTTCCTCTCTGTACAAAATCAATAAAAATATATTAAAAACAAAACAAAACAAACAAACAAACAAAAAAACGTCGATGAGAGAGAAACATCAACCAGTTGCCTCCTGCACACCCCCTACCAGGGATGTGCCCGCAAGCCCTTGACCAGAATCGAACCCGGGACCTTTCAGTCCGCAGACCGACGCTCTACCACTGAGCCAAACCGGCTTCGGCTAGTCCACAGGACTTTTGGTTTCTCCTCCCATATGCTAACAACACTGCCTTCTGCAGTTTAAAAAGTATTTTTATGTCTTAGCCTAGTTTTTTTTTTTTTTTTTTTTTTTTCTTTAAAGATAATAAAGCTGAATGGAGAGGTTTAGAAACTTGGGCCAGGACACAAAGCAGGTGAGTGGAGGAACCTGAGTTGGAAGCCAAGGCTCCCAGCCCCAGTCATCCTCCCTGTCCTCATCAGCCCCACTCCCTCTGCAAGGCCACCTCTGACAAGCTGACCGCCTCTGATGCGATGGCCACATGCGCTGTAAGTCTGACACCAGACATGTCAGCACCAGCATTCCCAGGAGGGCTGCTGGGCTTTCGCCTCATTTGGAAGAGTGCTGGACTTTTGGGTCAGGAAGGGAAATATCTGGATGAAAGCAACACACATCTGGCGGTGTGGACGTGGACCACACACCAGGAAGCAGCGACTGCAAGCCTCCGAATATCTGGACACAGCAAACAGTTAGCAAACATCTCGAACACTGGGAGGAATGTTCTCCAAACTTCTGGATGCTTCAGGGCACCAGGGTGCTGCCTCAGCTGCTAGAGTGGGTTTCTGCCTGCCCTCTAAATGTCTGGGCACCACATAACACCCCTTTGGATGCTCGTGGAGGGGGGGGAAGTGTTTCCCATTAGAGTGAGAAATGCAAAGAAGGCCCCAGGCGGTCCCCTGTGGCAGCCCTTCCCCTGGCACGGACCTGGCATGTGTACCATGCGGCAGTTGCAATTTTCCACGATGTAGCGGGTCTCACAGTCGATCCTACAGGCGGTGATGCTGTAAACAGGAAAGAAGTCGAGTCCCATCTCTGAGGATCGGCACTCACCCCACGGAGGCGGCAGGTATGTGAGCTGCAAGACAGGAAGAAGGGGCAGCAGTCAGCCTTGATGGGCTCAGTGCCTCATTCATTCATTTACTCAATCAACCAACGATCATTGAGCAACTAATTCATGACAATCTGGACTCCAATGACCTCACATGCCTTCAACATCTGGCTCTAACATTAGTTTTCTTATCTCCTCTCTTGTGAACCTTCCCAGGAATGCGGATCTTCACAGAGCCTTCTTTCCTTCCTTCCTTCCTTCCTTCCTTCCTTCCTTCCTTCCTTCCTTCCTTCCTTCCTTCCTTCCTTCCTTCCTTCTTTCCTTCCTTCCTTCCTTCCTTCCTTCCTTCCTTCCTTCCTTCCTTCCTTCCTTCCTTCCTTCCTTCCTTCCTTCCTTTCAAATTATTTCTTTATTGATTTCAAAGAGGAAGGGAGAAGGAAGGAGAGATAGAAACATCAATGATGAGAGAGAATCATTGGCCGGCTGCCTCCTGCACCCCCCCCCCCCCCCCCCCCAGTAAGGACTGAGCCCGCAGCCCAGGCATGTGCCTTTGGTTGGAATCGAACTCGGGACCTCCCAGTCTGCAGGCTGATGCTCTATCCACTGAGTTAAGCCGGCCAGAGCTTCACAGAGCCTTTTTCAAATGCTGCATCTTGTCACTTCCACACTTTGTCATCTCCCTTCTCTTGGAAATTCTACCCTCCACGCTTGGGACCTGAGACCTAGACCTGGAGGAGGGGTTGGGATGCAATAGCCTTCGGCACACACCGTGCTGTTTATGACCCCTGGCCCTGGCGAGAGCATCTCTCCAGTGACAGCTGTGAACAACTCCACCAGGGAACGTGCCTCTTGTGCTCAGAGGCCCAATGACTGCAAACTGTTCTAACACCCACAGCACTTGCCTGCTAGGGATGGAGAGAGTGAAGGATGAAGGAACTAATGGTTGGTGAGCACTTACTGTGTGTTCCGCCCCAAGACAAGTCCTTTACATCTTAGAAAACATTTTAAGAATAAAAAATACAATAAAACGCACACATTTCCAGTGCACAGTTCAACAAATTCTGAAAAATCTACACACCTTTGTACCTGCCACTTCAATCAAGAATAAGACATTGTTGCCCCGGCCAGGTAGCTTTGTGGGTTAGGGCATTATTCTGATACGCCAAAGTTGTAGGTTCAATCTCTGATCAGGGCACATAGAAGAATCAACCAATGAATGCATAAATAAGTGGAACAAGAAATGGATGTATTTCTCTCTCCTTCTCTCCTCTCTCTCTCATCAATAAATTAAAAAAGATATAGGATATTTTTAATTACCTTAGAAAGTTCCTTCCTGTCCCTTTCCAATCAGCCCCCAGGAGCATGGACCATATAACATGGGCAATCGATGTTAAGGATTCTATCACCATAAGTTGGCTTTGCCTCTTCTCAAATTTCATATAGATGAAGACTTACACTATGTGCTCTTTTGTGTCTGGCTTCTTTAGCTCAACAAAATGTCTCCCACACAAAATAAACTTAAAGAAAAAGATACTGCATGAGAGAGAGAGAGAGAGAGAGAGAGAGAGAGAGAGAGAGAGAGAGAGAGAGAGAGAGAGAGAATGTTATTTTCACAGTGATAGGATCAACCATCAAGAGGACATGATAATTCTCAATATGCATTGCCTAATGATAAGTCTCAAAAATACATGAGGCCCTGGCCAGTGTCTTCAAGTCTGTGTTCATTTATTTTGTTCAACCCAATCTTCTGATAATCCCACAACATGGTTTTAAATTCCAGGCCATGGCATTTTTCAGTTTCAGGTTGACTTTTTAAAGAAGCTTCCATATTTTGTCCTCCCCGATCTCTCATTATTTACATCTCTTTCTGCAATTATGTAACATGCTTATCAATGTTATTTTAAATGTTGTGAAAAGGACATGGTTATTTTTTGTTGTATGCTGGACATTATAGATAACTATAGTGGCTCCAGGTCAGTTATCTTCCACTGAACAGTATTGAATGAATCGCTCTGATTTTGTTAAGGTGTTGTTTAGGCTTTGTATAAGAATGGGTATAATATTTTCATTTTCCTCTTAGTCCTGGGCTATAGCCCTTAGTCTTGGAATGTGATGTTCACTCCTAAGGTCTGACACTTCTGGGGTTTGAATGGAAAGCCTGAGATGGATGCTTATCAGGTGTAACTCGGTGGAACTTGAATGACAGTCTGTCTTCCCTGCCTTGGCAGCTGCTGAAATTACTGCCCAGCTCTTTCACCTGTACTCCTGGGCTTCTTGGCGTGTCACCCCTAGCCAAATGAAGTCCAAGGTTCAGTCTATGATTTTAGGGAAGTTTATAAAAACATGTTGGAGCTCCCCCTCTGAGGGTCCCACTTTTCTAGGGTCTTTCTTCCCCAAACATTCAACCTTTCTGGCAATCATGAACCATGAACCCTGTCTTTTAAAAAGAATCTGTTTTTATTGATTTTTTTAGAGAGAGAGAAACATCGATCTGAGAAACATTGATTGGCTGCCTTATGCACATCCCCTACTTAGGACCGAGCTTGCACACTCGGCTTGTGCTCTGACCGAGAATCAAATTGTGACCTCTTGGTGCATGGGATGATGCTCAGTCCACTCAGCCACAGCAGCCAGGCAGACTTTTGCCTTTTTTTTTTTTTTAAATATATTTTATTTATTTATTTATTTTTACAGAGAGGAAGAGAGAGGGATAGAGAGTTACAAACATTGATGAGAGAGAAACATCAATCAGCTGCCTCTTGCACATCCTGCACACCCTCTACTGGGGATGTGCCCACAACCAGGGTACATGCCCTTGACCGAAATCAAACCCAAACCCGGGACCTTTCAGTCCTCAGGCCGACACTCTATCCACTGAGCCAAAAAACGGTTTTGGCAGACTTGTGCCTTTTTAAATACAATGACTACTACTTTCTGCTTAAGCTCTACTCCAGTATTCCCTTAGAACTTGACCTACTCTCCAGGGAGAAGTCAGATAAATAAATGTGTATTCCACCCAGTGCAGGGACCCTAGCCTCAAGGGCTGCATACCCTCCAGGTCCTGCCTGCATTAGTCCCATCAAATAGCATTTTAAACAATTTTGTCCAAAGTTTATCATCCCTATTTCCAGGAGAGTTAGTCTGCTATAAGCTATTCCACCATTACTGAGAGCCCCGTCTCCACACTCATTTAACATTCACAGGACTCCTTTGAGGGAGATGTTCCTGTGCTCATTGTATTAATGAGGCACCTGAGTACCAGAAAGGTTAAGCAGCCTGTTCAAGATCACACACCTTGTCAGTGGTAGAGCCAGCATCCTGGGGATTTCTGACTCCAACCTTGCACCTGTCACACGATGCTACACTGTCTCTCCAGGAGATCGGCAGGAGAGAGAGAGAAACACACCAGGAATGCCTCTCAGAACGTTCCTTTTTTGTTTTGACCTACTGGATTCTTTCTTCTTCTTCTTTTTTTTTTTAAATGCAGGTTTGCTTTACTATCTCATCTTTCTTTGGAGTGCATAAGTTGATCAGCCTTTGCATAGATTTCCTGTAAGACTTTAGATAATTCTCTTCTCTGAACCTTAGTTTTCCCACCTGTAAGTAGAAAAGATTTAAGGATAGATATTCCATAATTAGAATGCATTAGGTCTCCTGCGCCACTCAATATTGGATCCATAAACACAATAATTGGATTTGGAAGGACCAACAGTGACTTTTGACAAAGCTGTGTGTGTGTGTGTGTGTGTGTGTGTGTGTGTGTCTAAAATGTTGACTATTGACGGGGGATGGGGCTGGGGGTTCCCTACTCATTTGTGACGAGCTGGCATGCCCCAGGGCACCTTATGTGGCCCACCAGCTCAGCCAGGTTCAGTGACCCTGAGTGGGGGTGGTAAAGGATTAGAAAAGACAGACAAGAAAGTTGGGTCTCAGTGGGATGCTATCCTCTCTAATCGAGAGAGACAGTACAATGGACTACAAGCCGTGTCTTTATTGTATAGCAGATGACACGAAGCAAAGTAAGTGCGTGGTCAAGATGTTTACAACATTCTTGTGGGTTTCGATCCCACTCAGTTACATGCACCTGAACTCTATCAAGCCCACCTCACTCAGGCATGTGGGGCCACGTGTTCAGACCATAGATTCAAGCTTACAACTACAGCTGTTGCCTATAATTGTGCTGGGAGGGCTCTGCCCTCCAGGCTGGGACTTGCACGTGGCCATGAGAGGACTGTGCTCTCTGTGTCTGAGAACAAAACCTGTCCAAACCCTATAGCCACTCTCTACACTCATTTCTTTTGCTTCCACTAAAACAGGTTCCCACAGTGGGTGGACCATGCACGGAGCTGGTGAGGCTCTGGTGATGAGCCAAGGTCTGTTCAGGATCAGCCACTTCCCTTTTTTTTTGGCGAAGGTCATGATTCAGAGCCCACGACCACCCTACTGTGGCCTCACTTGTTCCATCAGCTTTTCTGAAGCCTCACACACCACAGCGGCTGGGAAATCACAGCGTGCACAGTATCGACTCTTGCTTGTCAGTGAGTGTCTGAGAGTAGGTTGGAGTATTTGTTTATCTGGGGCCAGCAATGCTTCCGGGGGACCCTGAAGCACTGTCTTCAAATATCTGAAGGGCTGTCTCAGGGATTGGTTTCCGGGCATCCCAAGGGAAAGACAGACTCAGGAATCGTTGTAATAAGGGAAGTAGGGAGCATGATAGCATTTACTGATGCTGAAGGTACCCTGGCAGGCACATTACATGCATGACCTCATTTAATCTTAAAGAAGGAACAATTCCTGCTCAACTTTCTTAATCCAGCGCCTTAGACTGCTCGGCCACGCTACCACCTGACCTCAACTTTCTAACCTCCCAAGTGATTCCCTAATAAAAGCATCATCTTCAGAGTAAGTTCCCCATCATGAGGGGTGTTGAAGCAGAGTCTACCCAACTATAATACTTGGCTGGTTGGGAAGAGAGAGAGTCAAGCATTGAGTACCCAGGGAATGAAATGACTTCTAAAGTTGCTTCA